TGTAAAATTCAAACTGTCTTGGGTGAGGAAATGCTCCAAGCGGTTAGGCCATCTGCTCCTCTCTAAGGTGACTCTGTTACCCAGGGCTCTCTAGGGGTGATGGCCAGGACCCACCCTACCCTTGTTCCCATCTCTTTCTCAGTCTGCTTTTTCTGTCCCAGCTCGGTGGTATTCCCTCCCAGTAGGTACTCTTACCACCATGCCTGGCTGATTCTCCAGGCCTGCTGGCTTCTGCGCCTCCATTCCCCTTTGGTCATTATCGAATATTTTGTATGTTTTGTTCAGGGACTACTTCAAGATGAGTTATAAAGGCAACTACAAAAGTCAGAATAAGACTGAGACCCCTGGGACATGTTTCTGGCCCAGGAAGAAGCAAGGCAACATTGTTTCTTGAAGTCACAGTCATTGTCTTGGGACAGACGGAGGAACTGAGGGACAGAAATGCAGTGGCTGCCTCACTCATACTGGAATGAACAATGAGAACCTGGTCTCCTGACTTCCAGATGCCAAAAGGGTTTTGTTTTGGAGACTGAGAATATAGTGAATTTTCACTAAGGGCAAAGACACCATCTGCTAACAGTACGGGGAGATCTGAAACGTATCCCCCTTTGGCCTGGGCACTGGGGCTCTCCACTGGGCCTCCCACCTCCGAGGCCCTGTGCTTCCGAGCACCTTCCTCACAGCGATCCGGGTTCACCACCACTGCCTGGGGCTGGCCACGACTCACAGTGCCGCTGGGTGGGGCATCTCCAGCCTGGGCTGAGACTCCCACAGGCCCTGGTCTCCCTTCTCCTTTCGGGCTCCTCCCCACCCTCTACCCCTCCCCGGTCACTGGCATCCCAGGCAGCCCTGCCTCCAGACTGGAGCTCTGCAATGCCCAGGGGCCCTTCTGACTGACATGTTCTCTCCTGGGTGGGTCTTGAGCCAAGGAGAATAAGGGCAAGACTTTTCTCATGCAGATGCTCTTCTGCTCTCCCTTCTTCCACAAGCCCCTCCAGAGTCAGCAGCATAATCTGTGGGTCCCAGGGCAAAGTGAAAATGTGGGGGACCTTTGTTCAAAAACAGGCAAGAAGTGCTGTTAAGGACACCAAAGAAACCCCATTCAAACAAAAACCCCCCACTGTTTCCTTTCTCCTGTGACCTGTCATGGTGTTTTTTCTTGTCCTTTAACCTTGCTTCCCCTTGGGCATGGGGGCAGAGCAGACCCCTCGTAGCCACCCTGGTCCCCATCCCACCACTCAGCTTGTCCGTGGGCAGGACCCACGAGCTGCCAGGTCCCCTTCCCTCTAGCTGCACTGGTGGCTGACAGCAAGGAGCAACTTCTGAGAAAGTGATTGAAAGCCAGTACCGAGAGGCAACATAAGGAATGATGCGGCCTCAGAAGGAATGATGCAACTGGAAGTAGATAGCTGGGATGGGGAACCGTGGAGGGAACCGTGCTTGGTCAGGGTTCTCTGGAAGAACACAACCAATATAATATACATGTACATAGAATACATCTATACATATATGTTATATATAATATTCATAATATGTATCATACATGTTTGTTAAATATATATCTATAATGTATTTTATAATAATACTATGTATATGATCTGATAGAGAGATAGACAATAAATAGGTAGATAGAGGAAAGGCATGGGAGACTTATTTTAAGGAACTGGCTTCTGCAATCCTGGGGCTTGGCGGGTGTGAAATCCATGGGCAGGCTGGAAATCCAGGTAAGAGCTCATGTTGCAGTCTTTCCTCTGAATTCTACAGGGTAGCAGGCTGGAAAGTCAGGCAGGCTTTCTAGGTTTCAGTCTTCGGGAAGATTCCTTTTTCAGGAAACTTCTCTCTTTGCTCTTAAGACCTTCAACTGATTGGATAAAGCCCTTTCACATTAGAGGGCAATCTGTTTGACTCAACGTCTCCCGATTTAAACGTTTAATCACATCTAAAAAACACCTTTACGGAAATGTCTAGACTGGTGTTTGACCAAACAACAGGGCCCTGTAGCCTAGCCGGGCTGACACATAAACTTAACCATCACAGTGGTCCTTATAGTTTGAATACAAATGATACAGAGCCCTGGCACACTAGCGATAGCAGGGCTGCAATCTAGTCTTGCACCGGGAGATCCAAAACTAGTTGCATCTGATGATAAAGAACATGGAGACCTGGTTTCTGGACCTGTAGAGGAAGAGATGGTGCCTGGACACCAAGAAGAATCTTCATATGCTCTGGCTGGACAGTAAAGCAAATACACTGGTCCCTCCCACCTCATTATCCCTAACCTTCATGGATAAATCACTAGACCTCACATGGCCAGTGAATTTTGTAATACATTTGTACATCAAGTTGTTTATATAGACAGAGGCCCTGCAAAAATATTTTCCCAGGCTCCCAAACACCCTAGAAGCAGCTCTTCCTGCAAGCTCAGCCAAGCACTTCATGGGGCAAAGCAGGAGGGGGTCCAAACCCTGGGCTGAAGCTGCAATTAGAGTCTGGCAGCTCCCTGTGGGTCTGAGGTTAGTGCAACTGACTATTACAAGAATAATGTCTGCTATCCCGAGTGTACCAGACTGTTCCATGTGCTTTCCATGTTCCTCATAACAACCATGCAACATGCGAGAAATCAATACTTTCATCTGACAGCTGAGGAAACTGAGGCTCAGAGAGGTTCAGTGATTTTCTTCTAACCCAGGCAACTCTGACTAAGTTTAGGTTCTCAACAACCATGTAGTATTGACTCTGTGTGTTCTTCCTTGTGGCCTTAGGGTCTAACACCACCCCTGGAATGCGGCAAGAATTCATTAAATAATTTTTGTTTGAATGAATCTATCATATTTAGTAGAGGGCAATAGAGGGTGTGTAAAGTAGGCTTAGTGAATCAACCTCAGGTGAAGACGGAGTTAGAAGGGGGAGTGGCGACCAATGAACAGGTTCTGGGGATCAGCATGGGAGTCAACAGTTTTAGAAGAGCTCAGTTTGGTGTTGTGTAATGAAGTCATTATGCAACTTTGGGCTTGTGTCTTCTGAGGGCCTCAGTCTCTGGCTGCTGGAGGTTCGGTCTAGATCGGGAGTCAGCAGACATATTTTTGTGAAGAACCAGAGGGTAAATACTTTAGGCTTTGCAGTAAATAATTTACAGTTCTGCTACAATGTCTCAACTCTGCCATTAGAGTGGGAAAGTAGCTACAGACAATATGTAAATGACTGAATGTGTGGCTGTGTTCCAGTAAAACTTCATTTAGAAAAACAGGCAGCTGTCTGGAATTGGTCCAGGGTCCTTAATTTGCTGACTCCTGGTATAGATGACCTCAGAATTCTAATCCTAACAATCTATGATTAAATATTTAGAACAAACTGTATGAAGGACAAAAATGATTATACAGTGCCATTATTCTCCTCTGGTGCTCATGGCAGACATTGCTAATCTATCACAGGACTGCTTTCTGATGCGAGAGGAGCTGGCTTTTACAATCAATCACAGAGAACGTTAGCTATAACATTCTTCCTTTCACTATTTAAGAGGCAAATATTTACAAAACCCCAGATGATCTTTTGAGTGTGGCATTGAGGAAGAAACCGAGAGCAGGAAGTGCGGCAGCTTCTGCCGCTCTCCCCACTGAGTGAGAGGAATCAGACTGTTCCCCGGGGGGTGTAAGTGAGAACCCAAATCCTGAACGTAAACAGGCTGTTTGACCTGACAGTGGTATTAGCCACAGGTGGAAGTCAGACCCTCCATCTCTCTCTTATTTGCCCCACCGAGTGCTCCACCTAGGAGTGAAAGGCCTGGCTCACAGTAGTTACCCAGTGTGTGCTAATTTTCTTCCTTTTCTTTTCCCATTAAAATTTAAAACACCAAGTGACTTCTGCATGGAGGGATCTGCTGTCAGTGACTGTGTACTTAGCTCATGTGGAGTCGTCATTGCATGAGAATGCCTGACTCCTTCCTGTTCATTTAATTCCACCAACCTTCACTTTAAGGAATGAATGGGGGAAATCCATTCAACTCAGAAAGTCACAAAGTTAAATGATATTGAGGCGAGAGCTTGGGTTTTGCAGTGAGATAAGTTTGAGTTGAATTCTAGAGATAATATTCACTCTCTTGATAATTCGATGCAATCTATGCAGACTGGGTAGCACAAAGAATAAGTTTAATACATGGCAGCCATATTTTTTTGTAGGGGATTTTGGGTTAGGAAGCATTTCTCGATCATCTCAGACTGCCCCCTGTAACTAAATGCTGGTCACAGTGGCCAGTGAGCTGCTTTGCCCATGTAGCTCATCCTCATTTCCATTCTCATCGTTCATAAGGGACACAATTCATTTATTCTTTTCAGAGTCCTTGCACACCCCACTCACACAACTCTCTGAGAAGGCCTGATTTCTTAGTATCATCCCATTGCACAGTTGGGAAAACTGAGCTCCAAAGAAATTTGCTGAGGGCTCTTCCTTCTATACCTTTCATCTGACAACAATTTGGTGAGCGCTTTCCATGCATCAGGCACAGACTGGGCACTGGGGATATAATGGTGTAAATACTTAAGGGAAATATTTACTGTTGGTTGACTGATATGTCATCTGAACTTTTGAGAAGGAAATTGCATTGAGCAATCAGCAGAGAGTTTCACAATCTCCGAGAGTCCAGGAATGTGAGAATTAGGGTACATTGCACAAGGTCTCAGCTGGGAGTCCACAACTTGGGTTTCACCTAAAGAGCATCTGTGCAGTGACCTCTTCTCCCTGTTTCTCCCTATCAGACTAATGGGCCCGGGGCTTCCACCACATTCAGGGTTCAAATGGACACCCAAGATGGCCTCCTGATCAGTCTGGGGACATCTTCCTGGCCAGCCTTTTCTATTTCTTCCCTGGCCTGTTGCCTCACTGTCTTGCCTAGGGCAGGAAGGAGCCACTGTCCCCCGTCCCCCGCGTCAGGATTGCACGCAGGTTTCTCAGTGAGCTTTCTGCCTGTGCAATCACAGCTGGGAGGGGCCTAGGAAATTCTGGTGAAGCCACACCCAGTACTGACAGAATAAATAGCAAGATTTGGGGTTGGCCATCAGAGCCACCCCTCCCCTCACCATGAAGTCCAGCAGCCTCTTCCTCCTTGTGCTTCTTGCCTTAGGAACCCTGGCACCTTGGGCTGTGGAAGGTGATGGAAAGTGTGAGTTGGAGTCGCTTTGGTACAGTCTTGGCTGCGGGGTGAGAGATGGGGGCCGCTGGTGGTGGAGGATGCCCCCTGCTCTAGGCTCTGGTCTCTCCTTGATTTCAGGAGGCCTCCCTGAGGGCGGGGCCCTGTCTGTCTGGGCTGCAGAGTCTCTCCGAGGGCTCCTGAGCATCTGGAGAGAACTTTTTTCCTTATCCATCCAGGCAGCCCAGGTCTTACTCCTCTTTGTCCTTCTCTGTCTTTCGCTGTCATTCATCTTATTTCTGTGCTTTAGTCTCTGATTTTCTGCTCCAGTCTAGCCCTCAGCCTGTCACGCCAATTCTGGTTGTACTGGTTTATTTCTCTCCATGTCCATCACTCCCAGACTGCCCCTCTTGGTAGCCTTGTGTCTCCCGGGGCAGGAGATCCTGGCTGGGAGCCCTAGGCCTTTTTCCCAGGTGCGTGACTTCTCCTGCCCATATGTGTGGTTTAATCAAGCCTGTCTCTCTGCGAGGTCAGACAGGCATTTCCCTTCGGACTTTGTGGACAGGCACCTGGGTGAGGGTTTCTCCCAGAAGGGGGTGCTTTGTCTGGGAGTCACGACGGCTCCTCAACACCCAGCCCCTTCCTTAACTCTTGACCTTCTCTTCAAAAGCTTTTAAAGCTGGAGTCTGCCCTTACAGAAGACCTGCGCAGTGCTTCGCACCTGAGAAGCCCGAGTGCCACAGTGACTGGCAGTGTCCAGGGAAGAAGAAATGTTGCCCTGATATTTGTGGAATCAAATGTCTGGAACCTGTTAACATCTGGAAACCAGGTGAGGAGGTGGGCTTGCTGGTGGTGAAGGATGAGCCTCAGAACACAGCACCTGGGGGCAGGATTGGGTAGGAGGGTCCTTCCAGGCTTCCTCCTTCCCAACGACTGTTGAGCCAAGCTCCAGGAGTCACGCTGCCCCAGACAGGAGGCCCCCACCTGGCTGGCAGAGGGGCCAGTCTGTTGGGAGGTCAGTGCTTCAGGTAGCAGTAGCCTGGTAATTCAGATAACCAGGCAGTTGGCAGCCACCCATTCAATCAGCACTGGGCAGCTGGTTGCCTGCACTGCCTGGGAGCCTGATGTTAGGGGACAGCCAGAGCCTACTTTCAGGGCACCCTTAGACCTTAGGAAGAAAGGGTGGTCACACAGATGGGGAGGAAGCTGGGGCAGGTGCTGGTGCAAGAAGCAGGGGGTGGTGTAGAAAGTCGAGGCTCTGACCTGTGGCTCTGCTCTCACCAGGTAGGAAGCCTGGGAGGTGCCCGGTGGTCTTGGGCCAATGTATGATGCTGCACCCCCCCAATCACTGTGAGGCAGATGGCCAGTGCCAGGGGGACCTCAAGTGCTGCAAGGGCTTGTGTGGGAAAGTTTGTGTGTCCCCTGCGAGAGGTAAGGAGGGGGCTGGGGCAGGCTGACCTCCTTCCTCCAGGCCTCCCAGTATCAACCCTCTGGAGGTCTGTGGGTATGAACAGGGGGACTCCTGACCCCTGCCCCACCCAGAGCCTCTGCCTCATCCCTTTGTGGTTCCCCAGTCTCAGGCCGAGGGTTTCCATGGGCTCACTCACTGCTCGGATTCCATTCCAGCCTCTCCATATGAGGGCCCTGGGCAAGGGACTCTTGAGTCGCAGCTTTCTTATCTGTAAAAAGGACATCATGAGGTTGAAAGTGTTTTGTGAGGCACTGGGTGCACTGAGTACTTATTATTAAGGTTATTTCCAGCATGTTGTCCAGGGTCAAAGCCCAAAGCACGAGTGGGTTTTGAGGATATGTAGCTCAATGCTCTGAGTTTACACTTTTGTAGCAAAACTGACACTTGAACCCAGCCTCCTGATACCAAGATTCTTTGAACGGCACTACAACCTTTGCTCTGTCCTCAATCTCAGGGGCTTTTCTGGGGGAAGAATGGGGAGATGATTGGGCTGGTTCCTGGACTGAAGCTCTGATCTGATTTTTTCTTGCAGCCTGATTTTGCCATTCGGAAGAGGCTCTGGATCCCTGCTGCATGGTCTGGGAATTCCCTTTTCTGCTCCTAGACTAGGATAGCTGGGGGGTTCCATGGTGCAGGCCTGGGTCTGCCACCGATCTCTCCTTTGGTGAAAGGCTTGGCACACAGTAGGCTTCTAGGCAATGCCTGTTGAATGGTGAATGATTAAATGAGCACTTTTTTCCCGTACATCCTGTTTCGGTGGTTCACTGAGGGGTGTGAGTTGGTGGAAGGTGACAAGGGAGTATCTGGGTATGAAGCCCTTCCTCCTTCAGATATGGGGTGGGAGGAAGAGGCTGAAGAACTGCACAGACATGGATTCACATCTTGAGTCTGAAAACATTGGCTCTGTGATTCTGGACCAATGACTGTATCTCCTACATCTTTATTTCTTTACCTGCAAAGTGGCTGCAATGGGGTAGCCTTTTCTTCCTACATACATACATAACAATAACAGTATTATACACAGCAGTAATAGTAGTATAACTCCATTCGGGTTCCCAGACCTGATTCCAATGTGTGTAAGTAAGTGAGAGGGGTCTTCCCACACACAACACCAAGCAATTCTCGAACATCAGCAGGGTGTCCAAGAACCTAACTCAACTCTGATGCTATCTGACTGGAGACAGCACCAGATTCCCAGGTGACAGTCTCTGTTCTACAAACTGCCCTCCCCCTCCCCCTCCCGCTCCAGATGCTGGTCCCACACCCCAGGCAGTTCCCTGTGCTTCTGATCTACCAGCGACAGATTGGAGGCTCCCACAACCTCCCCCTTGGGTTTAATTAATTTGGTAGAGCGGCTCACAGAACTCGGGAAAACACTTAACCAGTTTAATTAAGGATATGGTAAGAATACAGGTTAACAGCCAGATGAAGAAATACACAGGGCAAGGGCCTGCATAAAGGAGCTTCCACCCTCCTGGAGGCTGGGGCCTGGCTGTGTGGCGTGTGGAGGTGTCCTGGTTCCCCAAGCTTAGAAGCTCTCTCCTGAAAAGCAGGATCAAAGGCAGCAGAAGAGAGCAGAGCTGAGCAGAGCAGAGAGTGGTAAGCCCTTCTCATGGGTTTTATGAGGGTTTCACTGCACAGTCATGATTGACTGAATCATTGGCCATTGGCTGATTCATCCTCCATCCCCCACCCTTGGGAGGGGGTCCAAAACTCTCTCAGTAACATGACCAAACACCGGTTCACCTTTTAGACTCTGCACAGAGTTCTCAGGAATATGGATAAAGATCAAATATACCTGGGAAATATGTACTTGGTCATATGTATGACCAAATATATATTTCTTGTGACACATTTTTTTTGCAGTGGCAAAAAACAAAAGTCACCTTCTCAGAGGGTTTGGGGCGCGGGGGTGTGCGATGTGCGTGTAATGAATGGCCTTGTTGCTGGGCCACAGCTAGTTCTCAGAAACTGTTGGAAACTTGCCTTCTGTGGTGATTTTAGCCTCTTTAATTTCTCCTCTCTTCCAAGCCACTATTTCTTCTTTCTTAAAAATAAATGTTGAGCAGAACAACATGCTTCAATGATCAGTCTGAAGTTGGACCCCAAACACTTCTGCTCAGTGCATCTTGCTATCAGTTTCTAAAGAAAGCATAAAGCTGTAATCATCAGAGAAATGCAAATTAAAACCACAATGAGATATCAATCACCTCACACCAGTTAGGATGGCCAAGATCCGAAAGACAAACAACAACAAATGTTGGCGAGGATGCGGAGAAAGGGGAACCCTCCTATACTGCTGGTGGGAATGTGAATTAGTTCAACCACTGTGGAAAGCAGTATGTAGGGTCCTCAAAAACTCAAAATAGAAATACCATTTGATCCAGGAATTACACTCCTATGAATTTACCCTAAGAATGCAGCAGCCCAATTTGAAAAAGACAAATGCACCCCTATGTTTATCACAGCATTATTTACAATAGCCAAGAAATGGAAGCAACCTAAGTATCCATCAGTAGATGAATGGATAAAGAAGATGTGGTACATATACACAATGGAATATTATTCAGCCATAAGAAGAACACAAATCCTACCATTTGCAACAACATGGATGGAGCTGGAGGATATTATGCTTAGTGAAATAAGCCAGGTGGAGAAAGACGAGTACCAAATGATTTCACTCATATGTGGAGCATAAGAACAAAGAAAAAACTGAAGAAACAAAACAGCAGCAGACTCACAGAACGCGAGAGTGGACTAACAGTTACCAAAGGGAAAGGGACTGGGGAGGATGGGTGGGAAGGGAGGGATAAGGGGGAAAAAGGGCATTATGATTAGGACACATATGTAGTGGTGGGGGGACCCACGAAAGGCAGTAAAACACAGAGAAGACAAGTAATGATTCTATAGCATCTTACTACGCTGATGGACAGTGACCGTAATGGGGTATGTGGGGGAGACTTGATAATAGGGGGAGTCTAGTAACCATAATGTTGTTCAAGTAATTGTATATTAATGATACCAAAATAAAAATTGAAAAAAAGAAAGCATAAAGCTGTCAAGCACCGGATGAAACAATGCTTTACTTATGGAAAAGAAACAGCAAGATCAGCTTCCACAAGTGGCCTCCATGTCCCATGGCCAGAGTCTCCAGGCAGCTGATGCAGGGCAATTCCCTGCATGCACCCCTCTCGGGCTGCAGTAGAAAGATCCCACTCCCTCCTGGCGGAGGATGGTGAGGCAGTGGCGTGGCCAGGTGCCACATGGTGCACGCGTACTTGACACAGAACAAAGGTGCATACATTGAATTTGAAACATGGAGAGCTATTCCCACACAAGGCAATAAGCTAAGCACAGGCTGTGTGGGCCCTTTATTCCAGGTCCAAGGCCCACTCTTACGCAGCTGAATAGGGGATGCATGCATGAGACTTCCTTCCCGAACAATAAGAACACTGTCATGGTGAGTCATGTTTATGACATGCTTTTGGCCAATACCACACGAGGGTGTTACTGCTTGATTCCGTGGAGCAGAAAGAGTAACAAGAGCCAGACTGAAAGCTAGAGGCAAGCATGGAACTTTTCTCCATATTTCTCTGTGCTTTGTAGACTCTAAAGGAAATAGAGAACTTGATTAGATAGTGATTTTACAAAGGGGCAAAACAAAATTGTAATTCAATCATTTCCCGGAAAATGTCACTGGTCTAAGAATATATTCCATACTACTTCCAACCAGTGTTTCAAGAGTAGCAACCGGATATATTAAATGAATCATTTTAGAGAGGAGGAAAAAGAGGGGATCCTTCAGGTAAGAATGGGATGTTTTATTCTTACAGATACAATTTCAAGTGTAGTTTCTGGTAGTCTGTGATTTTAGAAAACGCATTTTCTCAGTGACTAAGAAAACTGTAGCCCATCCAAGAAGTGGGTCCTCACGATGCTTTACAGCTACAGCATGTCACTGGGAGAAATGTTTTTTGCTGACTTTGCAGCTAGCTTTATCTGTGTCTCTCCTTCTAGCCTGATAAATGGCAGGACAGGTTTTTATTTTTGAGTTTATTTTACTTTGTCCCTAGAAAAATATACCTGACCCAAATGAACATTAACACAAAACAGAAACATTAATATTACTATAGGTATTAGAGAAATTAAATTCGTGAAAAGAAAAATTCTGACTCAGCTAATTTGGCTAGCAAGTTCTACCAAATATTAAAGAAAGAAATAATGTTAATTGTTACAAAAACTTTCAGAAAATTAAAATGAAAAATTATACTTCTCAACTCATTTTATGAGATTAGCATAATCTGAATACCAGGATACAACAAAAATGATATGAAAATGAAAATTAATAGGCATTTTCACACATGAACATGGAAGAAAAAAAATCTTAAAATATTAGCTAACAGAGCAAAACAATATATAAAAAGGATAATGATCAAGTTGGCTTTATCCAAGGAGGAGAAGGTGGTTTTACCATTAGAAACACAATCAATATAATTTTAACACATTAACATGATAAAGGAGAAAATAACATATAATCATCTCAATAATTTAAGAAAGTACACTTAGTAAAAATTCATCTTAAAATTTAGCAAACTAAGAACAGACAGAAACTTCCTTAAACTGATTGATCAAGAGTATATTAAAAAAAACAAAAAACTGTAATTATTATGCTTAAAGGCAACATGTTAAAGACCTTTTCTTTGAAAGTAAAACAAGACAAAAATGTCTGCTATTACCATTTTTCAACATTGTACTGGATGGTTAACCAGCACATTAAGACAAGTAAGAGAAATAAAAATTATAAGAATTGGAAAGGAAAAAAAACCTGTCACTATCCAAAAAGATAGTGATGGGGTCCAAAAATATCTACAAATAAATTATTAAAACTAACATGAAAGTTTACCAGAGTCACAAAGTGAATATTTTAAAAATCAAGTATTTAGAAAATTTTATTTCCATACCCTAGCAAGAAACAAAGATGAAATTTTTTACAGTCGTAGAAAAGAATTCAAATAGAAATAAAGCTAAGAAAAGATGTGCAAGATCTTTGTAGAAAATGGTAAAACTTTATTGAGGGACGTTAACTTAAGATCTAAATAGAAAGACAGATATACCATATCCATAGATTGGAAACCCTAAAACTGGAAAGATGCACTTTCTTTCTACACTTACTTACAGGCTCAATGCAATTCCAATCAAAATCCCAACAGGTTGTTGTTCTGTTTGTTTGCATGTGTATATATCTTGCAGAAGATTTTTGAAAACTTCATTTGGAAAAGCAAAAAGATAAGAAAGCAAGGGCATCCTTGAAGAATATAAGAATAAGGCAGAAATACTTAATCAACAAAATACTAAGATTTATTATAAAATGAGAGTAAATAAAATTCTGTGATACTGGCCAAGGATAGACTCATAGACCAATTGTATGTTAGCATCCAGTGAGAAGACAGAAAGAACACAGTAGTATGACCAGGGTAGGTTTAATATGAAAATTATGAATGGTTGCACGGAATTAACTAAAAGGGAATAAAGGAGTTCGCTAAAGAAACCCTAGGGCTGAGGGAGGGAAGTCAAGGAGGGCACCAACTTGCAAAAGGGTGAATCCACTCCAAGGTCAGGGTTCAGATCATTGGAGAGGGTGTGGTGGCTGCCCATGGGTTGGCGGATAAGTAAGTGTCTGCCTTGTCCCAAACCCCAGTCCCCTCACAGAGGCAGGCTGGGGTGCTGGAGAAATGCTCTGGGAA